GTGAATTCACCGTGGGTTCACCGTGTGAATTCACCGTGTGTTCACCATGCGAATCCATCGTGCCTTCATGGCCATCATAGACTTAATCTATATATTATATAAAATATATTAAAAAATTATAAAATACTTATAATACTAACGTTAATAGAAGAATCCACCGTGTACTTAATTAGAAATTACACCTTAAGTTTATAATGCAAGTATATCGTGAGTTTATTATATAAGAGCATAGCTTAGGATCCACGGTGCAGGCTTGTATAAAAAGGTGGTGAATTCAGCCTATAAATCTACGGTGTACTTATACTATAGACCGGCGGTGTATTTACCGTCGGGATTCGCCGTGTATTCATCAGATAAATGCATAGTGCGAAGGCGCGTTGAAGAGGATGCCACGCAGTGAGAAGCTGTAGGCACGAACATTGGTTACGATGTAGAGAGCGGCTTCGTTGAAGAGGGTGAGTGATGTTGTGAACTGTTGGTTTCTGTCTGACTCCGTGGTCATAAAGGGGAGTATAAGGTTTCTATCTGATTGCGGACCAGGGGACTAGCGAGGAGTTTTCGTGTCCCTGCACAGATCACCAGAGATAGGCACGAACAGGGGTCACGATGTCAAGGGGGGGTCTGTTGAGAGGGGTATTCGTTAATTTCCTAAGATAATCACCAACGGTCGGTGAGGGGCGGTGACAATATATATTTTGAAACTATGTTCCTTCTGAAACTACATTCCTTCCTTCCTTAAAATACGATATACATTCATTCCTTCCTTGCTCAAGACACAATATATACTCGTTCCTGCCTTCCGTAAAATTTGATATATATTCGTTCCTTCCTTCCTCAAAATACAACATATATTCGTTCCTTCCTTACTCAAGATACGACATATATTCGTTCCTGCCTTCCCCTAAATTTGACATATATTCGTTCCTTCCTTTGAAGTTCATAGGTCAAGAGAAGAAGAAGAAGAAGAAGAAGAAGAAAAGGTATATAACATAATAGATCTTTAATTAAACTAGCTAGCAAAAGAAGTCCTTGCTACTAAATTCTGCCCGGTTATAATCTGTCCTAAAGCAAAGGGATAGGTTTAGCCACTTAAGAAAATAGAAGGAAGTTCTTATATAATTGGCTAAAAGCTACTTGGGTGTAAAATGGATTTATTACTCCCAACATATATTCAGGAAGAATATATATGCGATCTTTCCGACGCTTGTTTGAATAGACTATAGTCCGGTACGGTAGCTATCGCAGCCCGAAAGCCTGACTGCGTTACTAGAGGGGACACAAGTTAAACGACTGCTTTACTTAACTTTAGCTGGATTTAAGCTCGTTCTATCGCAAATGTTACGTCCTTTAGGTAGTAATTATCCTGTTTATATTTTTTTCACCCGATATACACGGGTGGACGTTCGTCTGCTTGTATAAAGATTAATGCTCTTCGGTTAAAAGACGTGTTGTTCTCTAAGTCTTCTGTGCATAGAACCTGCTCTAACATGCTTATTCTTATGTTCCGAACGATTAAAGGGCCCGAAACTACCCAACAGTCTATTTTTATTGAAAGAAAAAATATATAGGTAGTATCTTAATTTACCTGTTGGATGGACAATATAACCGGTCTCGCATGACCAAGCATATTTCGTCCCTTATATACTATAAGCAAGAAATTTCACAAGCAACTTAATCGCTGCCTTATATAGGTAGTCAGCAGGATAAATTCTTGACTGAGGCACACTACGCCTTAACTTTGCATATTTCCAGCATCTCCCGAATTTTACGCTGGATAGTTCAATCTGCTTTATCAACAAGGTACCTTTTCCCTTGGGGCACGGGAAACCACGTTGGGTCGAATTTGCTCAGTGTTAGTTGATAGTTTTGAATGTATCACTCGTATGTTGTCCTCGTTTAGCTCTGTGTATACACATAAATCCTTCTTAGACGCATGTAGCTGGTCGAAGTTGTTCCGCAATTACCGCATGATTCCTTTCTCCCCTTCACGAGCCACCCTCTTATATAACAGACCATGTGGACACCAAAAAGCATACTAGGGACTACAGAGGTCACCTCGATGGCCGTCTTGCGACAGTCACGTTTGACAATGCCCCCGTGCTTGTCCACTCCACCACGCAGCTTTTCAATCTGATCATATCTCAAATTGTTCAGCTTCGTGGAGGGCTAGTCCGGAAGCGCTTCGCGCTGGAAGGAGCAGGCCTCCTCGAAGCTTTCTCTTATATCCTCAATTATGCAGAGTTTCTCGTGCGCGGATCAGTCAATAGCAAAAGATACTTACGCACGTAGCGAAGTACCTATATAATAAAGGCAGGAGGTCGAATCGTGACTACTCCTTTCTAACGCTTTCGGGCTTTCGGACCAGTCCTCCACGAAGCTAATTCCCTTTACACATTCATCGCCACAACCCAGTATATAGGGTAAATAAGTATGCCAATCTGCTAGCCGTCCTAGAGGTTACGTAGGCCCACGGATAGCAGATTGAGTGGAACGTGCATACTTATTTTATATTCTGCTGGCGCAAGGAGAGTGCGCACCAAGCTCTTTGAGGACCATGCTCCAGTCACTAGTACCTTAGTGCCCGAAACATTCACTCAAAATGTCCGAAAAAATCGACGATGCGACTGGACAAGTCTTTGGCTGGGCATGACGGGTCATCCAGGCGCAGGCTGCAATTGAGGTTCCGAGCTCTGACGGTACTCCTCTCTACGATCAGACTAATCCAAGGGCTACTAACTAATCTGTCTTCAGAAGAGCAAGGATCTAAGCTGGTGACCAAGCATATTTCCACGGCAGGTACTTACCTGTCTTACCTAGGTATGCATAGAGACATGTCTTGACAAGAGAGTTTGCACATGTCGTCGAAAGAAGCGGACGTTTACATGGTCCTCGAAGCTTCCATGGCAACTTTGGAACAGATCCAATATATTAAAGGCGCCGATGTTGTTCGGAACTCGTTCATTTGGGACTTGAAGTCGTTGACACCGAGAATTGCTGCGATGGCCTCACGCATCACTTGGCAAATGCTGGTCACCGATTGTATGAGTCTGACTCTGAGGTCATGTTCAAGCAGTTGATATAATTTTTGGGCTCTGGATGCATAGCTTCGAGCTGCGCATCAAAGTTGGAGTGAGCCTTGAAGTTGTACAAATTTCGGCATGCCCCCTGGCTATTACTTACAAACGAGGCGATGTCAATGGTAAGGACTAGCTGCTCTTGCTCTAATATGCAGTTCTGTACGGCTCTTGTAACTACTCACGGGGTTTTCAACGAGATATTATATCTTTTGACATGTGTTATAGCATACCTAGGTAGTCCTGAAAACCCTAACATAGTGCAAGGCGTGTCGAAGAAGTGGCCTGTGTCACGAAGGCAATTGGTAAATCTCTGCCGTTAGTTGAAAGTTCAAGGAGAATCATAGTACAATAAGACAAGAAGACTGTGGACGACATTTAAGACCCAGGCCAATCTCGAGGCAGGCCTGGTAGGGTAGTATAACGATCTCACTTATACTATACTTTGGTAGTATACAGGGGCAGCGGTACCTAGGTATGCAACTTAGTACCTAGGTACCAAGCGAGTACTTCGACCAATTTGACGCGCTCGAAATATTCGCGGGTGGAACTAAGCGTTTTGTCAGGTATAGCGCTCTGATTGAAATGGTAGGCCCGAGGGACACTGAAGGAAGTGCCATACGTGCCCCAGCAGCTGCGTAGCTGTCGGTTCCATATTACACTGCGCTAGCGTACGGTCCGGCCTGCTACAAGCCACGGACAGCCTCATCAACGTCTTTCCACTCATGATTTACATACAAGCAATCTCGAAAATTACTATAAAGGGGTGGGAGAGAAGTGAATTAAGGAGATAGTGTATAAAAGGAAAGGCCTTATAAGGGTATAAGTATAGTAAGTTTGTTACTTTATCTAAAAGCATTGCTTCTAGAAAGTGGAGACCTATACTATAAATAGATCAATCAAAACCCTTTGAACTCTACTATAGATAGCCATTTAATTGCCTGAAAAAAAACAGAAAAAAAAAATTACCTATGACGATTATAAAGATTATCCTCATGCGGACAAAAATGATCACCAAATCGGGGAGTCGAACCCCGAGCTCCGCGGAACTCTCAAGTAGCTTGAAAACGCGGGATGTTAACCGTTACACCAATCTGGTGGCTTCTATTCGCTGTTGGATACGATGTCGCCGAGGTTCCTTAAGTTGACGGTAGGCAACCGATTAAAATTCGACTCATGACTATTTCTGTCCACCCAAGTCCTATTAAAGCCCCGGCGTGGCTGTCTGCAAGGTTTCTCGGTTGATATAGTGTGTACAGAAGTACCCGGCGTTGATCTAGCGGTCTCCTGTTTCGTCTGCCTGGAATAATAATCCTTAGATGATGAGGAATCCTCATAAGAATGAAGAAAATCGGAGAGGTCTCTCTTGTTATATCGCTTTCTTCTATATCCCGTATGAGTAGGCTCATGTCACTGTGTCTTTGTTGCTGCACACTTGATTCCCTGGAATCTTAGAACGACGGCAGGACCTAATAAATCTTTTGTTCCCGATATAGATCCGTTGACTTCTTAGGAACTACATTGTAGCATGACACATGGATGTCAATGTCCAGCATGTGGCGTAGTCCAATGCAAATGGAAGGTGCTACCTGTCACGTAATCATCAGAGCGTCAAAATGTTGGTAGATGAAGATCGGATGCTTGGAAGAATGCGTATTATAATGTTTGGGAAAATTACACCAAGCTATGAAGGACAGTGTTAGCAAGACATTCACATTAGAAACTAGGCGGTACCGGGAGCGCCACCGCGGTAGATGCGCACAGTAACTATCTAACTAGGTAGGTAGGGAAGGTTGTTAAAACCTGGAGATATCGCATAAGTCTCATCCGATTTGGCAAGGGCATCGTTTTTCTGTTTTTTAGACACAAGGAAAGACTTTGATGATGTGCAATTCATGTGGGCGGAGCTTCATTCTAGGACAGGTGCTACTTCAGAGTAAGTCTCATTCCAGGAATACTATGACTACAAAATTTTTGGACACCATGACCTCGCGCAAAAGATAGTCATGAGGACTGGCAAGCTCCCATAAGTGCTTCTGGAGAATCTCCTTTATTCATACGCTCGTGACTGGCTTTGCAATAGACCTTTTAAATCAAGCCCCCTCTAATGCATAATTTACAATTACAGCATACAGTCTACCTGTAATGCTGGTACTACTCCTGTTCTTGCTAGAACCTACGGCTTCTACGCAGCCCACACATCTTGACCCGACTTCTCGATCCAGTTACCTAGTTGGTTGACACTACCATCCCACTCTGCCAACCGCAGCCGCATGCTGTCAATCTGCTTGAAATCCAAAACCTTGGGCTGCACCCAGTTGATGTTAGCCACCTCATCCACCTGATCGACCGTGCCCCGCAGCAGACCCAAACTCAACGCCTTCATGACCAGGTGCTCGATCTCGTGGGGCTTGACCTTGGTCTCCTGCTCAATCGTCGCAAATGACATGGCGCGCTCGTGGGGAGGTCGGCGGAAGACAGCCTCTGTCAGAGCTGCCAGGTAGATCTTCTCACGCAGCTTTTCCTTGTACTGGGACAACAGCGGGTCCGAGTCAATGCTGCCGGAAAGTACGTCGTACTTGGTTAGGTCGCCGGCGTTGAAAATGAAGAGAAGGTCCCGCAGCCACTGGTCCTTCTTGTCGTTGAGCGCGTCCAGGATTGGATGCAGCAGCAACTCGCCAAAGTTGTAGATGCTCGTGGACACAAGCGCCGAGGTTGCCAGGTCATATGCGCGTTTGCGCCGCTCCGCGTCGTCCAGACTCTTGATGTCGATGCAGGCGAGATACAGGAGAGCGTTGCGATAGTAGGATGCGAAGTCCTGCTTCAGGTAGTAGTATGCGGCGTTGACTTTGTAGAATGTAGCGTGAACGACTGTCTCGACCGAGTCAAACACATCCAGCTTCTTCTCGGCCTTCTGGAGGTCTTTCTGTGCGTCATCCAGCCTGCCGAGATCCAACTTCACGTCTGCCACTGCCACTGTCGCATAAACGTAGGCGTTTCTTGAGTTTGGGTCCTCCTCTTCATCTGCATCTTTCTTGTTCTTCTTCTTCTCCTGCTCGGGATCGACCTTTTCTGCGACGAGTTCCACGAAGGCAAGGCGCTCTTGGAGGTCTGTCTGTTGTTAAAACATGATGGGTTGAACAGGATGGGAAAGTTTGATACGAACCTTGACACTGTGATGCTGCCTTCAATGCTAGGTCGACGAGCTTGAGCTGGTTGATCTTGTCGGCAAATTGAAGAACGAACTTGTTGTAGATGGCCATGCGGAAGCGGCCGCTGTCAGGGTGATTGAAGATGGTGATGAGAAGCTCGGTCAGCTCGTGCCATAGCTTCTGTTCCCAAAGATCTTGCAGTCTCAGGGTATCGGCCTGCAGAGGCTCCGAGATCTGGGAAAAGACCTCCTGCAGGAAGGACTGTGTGGCCTCGTCGTGGGACATGGTGCCGGTTTGTAGAAGGCAAGTGCCGCGGGTGGGATGGCTTCCGTTCTCGGCTTGGGCGAGATTGAACGGCGATCACAGCAGTAGAAGGATGGGTGTGTTTGAGATTTTCAGAGTCAACTGTGTTGGCGCAAGTTCGGAAAAGGAGAATAGTGAAGATGAGATCTCTGGCGTGTGGCGGCTGGAAGCTCTTGACGTCGGGCCCAGAGGTCGACGCGGCTGGGATGCAGCCTGGTCCCGCCTGGTAGACGTCTGTAAGCTACCCCTGGTGGAAATGCACTAAACCCACCCAAACTTCACATGGGGTTTATGTCAGCCAAATCGTCACGACCTGGCCCGAGCGTTCCTCCGACAAGTGCTTGGGAATTGGCCGCATCTGGTTGGAGCTCGCGACTTTCAAGATCCAGACTTCCACGCCTCCCCGACGACGTCGACCAACCCATTGAACGGTATCCACGGCCTTCTTGCATTCCCGAACTCAGCAAGAATGGCTTCCCTACCCACCGCCATGCGATCATCCCCCAGGATCGCCCGGAAAGCTCTCCAGCAGAGGTCGATATCAGATGTCGCAATCACACGCACGGGGAAGCCCATTCTTCGGGTTCAGGGTGGAAGGTCAGTTGTGTCTGCATTGTTATGAGAAGGATTGCTGGCTGACAAAGGGCGGAACAGGTCATCAATTGGCGGTACGAACAATCGATATTCTTTGACATTGGCGAGCGAATTGTCTGATCGAGAATTATAGGACACACTGCGACGGTGTTTGGTGCAACGGGTCAGCTTGGACGATACATCGTGAACAGATTGGGTACGCTGGCTTCCTTTCACATGTTCGAAAGACTGGAGGGCTGACAGAACATGAGTGCAGCTCGCGTAGGATGCCAGGTCGTGATTCCATACAGGGAGGAGATGACCAAGCGGCACTTGAAGGTGTCTGGTGATCTGGGCAGAGTTACCTTTATTGTGAGTGCAAAATACGTCTTCGGTACTTATCGACAATCACTGACTTTGCGGTCAGGAATACGATCTGCGAAACACCCAATCGATCGAGGAGGCCGTCAGACACTCAGATGTCGTCTACAACTTGGTGGGTCGGCAATATCCAACAAAGTACGTTCAAGACCTGTGGGAGAGACGAGATATCATCATATTAATCTGCGATCTAGGAACTTCTCGCTGGAAGATGTGCACGTCGAGGGCACGGCTCGGATTGCCGAGGCGGTGGCCAAGTACGACGTGGATCGGTTCATCCATGTCTCCTCCTACAACGCTGACCCGAACTCGCCCGCCTCCTTCTTCGCAACAAAGGGAAAGGGAGAGCAGGTTGCACGAAATATTTTTCCAGAGACGACCATCGTCCGACCTGCGCCGCTGTTTGGCTTTGAGGACAACCTGCTACTGAGGCTTGCAGGTCTCACGAACCTTTTCACCTCCAACAACATGCAAGAGAAGTACTGGCCGGTGCACGTGAGTATTTGAATTAATGTAGAAACTTGCCTGCTCGAGTTCTGACTTCGTGCCAGTCCATCGACGTCGGTCACGCTCTGGAGCTGATGCTCTACGACGACGCCACTGCCTCACAGACGTATGAGCTGTACGGACCCAAGCAATACTCCACCGCCGAGATCGCAGACATGGTCGACAAGGAGATCTTCACCAAGCGGCGGCACATCAACGTGCCTCGACAGATTCTTGAGCCTGCTGCCAGGATCTTGAACAAGCTCCTCTGGTGGCCTATGCTGTCAGCAGAGCAGATCCAGATGGAGCACATTGATCAGGTGATTGATGAGAAGGCGAAGACTTTCAAGGATCTTGGTATCGAGCCCGGTGAGATCAGCAAATTCACATATCAATATGTGGTAAGTCCGAAACTCCTTGAGATTTAAGTGCATCAAGATACTGATAAATCTCGCAGCAAGGGTTCCGCAGCGGTGCATTCTACGATCTGCCGCCGGCTAGTGAGAAGGAGAAGAGGGAGGAGAGGAAGTACTTGCACGTCCTCGACGACCAATAGAAAAGAAAAGACAGATTTCGGTGAGCGGCAAGGCGGGGTGGTCCATTGTAAATATGTAACTAGAGTTCTATGCGTCTTCAATCCAAAAAGGAATACACAAAATCACCCATGTTGTCATGTCTAGCGTAGTGATCTGCTGTTGCTGGATGAATCTGTGCTGGACCGTCCCACTGCGGATAGGCTGTCACTGAAGCCATTTAACCCAAAAATTCTGCCACTGAAATTCACGGACGACATCGGATTCTCAAACCACTAGAACAACGTAGGACACCCACCAAATCACGTGTATTGATTCCGATTTCCATACTACGTTCTCTTCAAACTTATTCCTACAGTTGAGAAATACGTTCGCCACTTCTCCATCATCCCGAAATGGCCGACAGCGATGATGAACCATTGTGCGCACCCACCCTCGTTTCCCCGCTCATGGAAGCTCATCCAGCTAAAACCTTCCAATCTCTAGGACTCTGTCTTCCCATGCCCTGGACGCGCTTAAAGAATTCTACACCGAGCGCGATGCGCGGGCCAAGCGTTTTGAGGAGCTGCAAGCTGAAGCTGAGGAGAGGGCCAGGGCGGGCGGGGAGGGGACAGCCGCGTCGGGGCCAGCAGCATCGGGGCTCAAGTACCCACTGAGCATGGAGATGTTTG